TGGGCTCAACGCAAGATCCCGACCCGCCCATTTTGCCTTGTCACCAGATCTTGCCAACCCACAGCCATCTGTTTCAACAACCAACAACGCCAACGCCAACTTCATACATCATGCATGTCGTGTCAGAATCCGAGGCACAACTAAAATGGATGGCGTGGTGATACGGAGTAGTTACGAAAGAAAAAGAAGCAAAAAAAAAAAAAAAAAAAAAAAAAAAAAAAAAAAAAAAAAAGGGAGCTCGCGCACACACGTCCATACAAGACAGGTTGATAGGGGTTGTATTATTTAAATATGACTCGAATATGAGGGAATATGAGGATGGCTTAATTCCTACCTAAATTATCCAATTAGGACTTTGACAGGATTGGGGAATAGGTTTCCAGAGTCGTTCTCTATCGTTCTCTCCACTCACCGCCATTATCAATCATCCACCGATGGACGGGAGAACTGGCGTAAGACAAATCGTTAGAGCGTGGGGACACAAAGAGATGCGGCCTCAGGTGGGAATTATATCGAGCCAAGGCGACAAATGAGAGACGGAAAAGGCAATACAAGCAAACATTTCTTCTCGGGACCGGCCTCTGATTAGCCATCTTCCAAAACTCATGGAGATGATATGTTATGCCAGCTCTAACAATTGACTTGACTGCGTGCAGCAGATGGAAAACGGAAATATTCGAATTTAGACGGATGCCATTGCGCACCTCTTTTGAGACGAGATGAGAAAAGAAGTAACACCCTTTCAATTTTCTTTTTCTTTTCGTCCTGGCTCAATTGCTACGACAGAACTAATAACAACCTGCAGCAGAAAGTGAACCTTTTTTTTCCCACAAGGGCATCCCTGTGACTGACTACTAATAAGTCTTGCCCATGGGTCTCCCGCCATGTTGGAGAAACCCATTTTTTTTTTTTTTTTTTTTTTTTTCAACGGTATGGCCGCAGCGTGCCAATCGCGATCGCAAAAGCCAGGCTGGCCAAGGGTCGAGCTGTGGCACAAACTACCGATTGGGCCCATCGCTTATACGGGGCATAGGCGCGCGGATTCTATTAACCGTCGCAAGAGTCACCGAGCAGTCGCACAGGAGGACAAAGAGAAGCAATTATCTCCGCCCTACCCGTTTTATGCCTCACCCAATACCCGGCATGACAAGCCAACAACAGAGTTATTTTGATGGGGAAACCCGCCATGGAAAGAGCACAGGGCAACATTTGAAATTGCAAATCATCTGATCCCCGCTCTTCTGCAGGCCCGATGATATGCATGTATGGAGTACCAGCTACATATAAGTATATGCGGACGCCTGTCGGGTATACGAGTGTGAGTTTATGATAAATCATCATGGTTAAACTATTGCCGCTGAACCTCAATATATGCCATACTCTCTTGGGAGGGAGGGGAAATATCAATCTGGGATCCCAACCATAACCAGGGCCACGAAGTTTGGTTGGACCTGAACTAGTGATGGTGATAGCAATTTTATTTGGCACAGATGGGGTAAAAAATTTTCAAAAAAGGAACAGGAAAAGGAGCTCCAGAAACAACTATGAACCAAGGGCATCAACAGAATGAAGATCTCACCTAGGCAAGTTGCTTTTCAATTGCTTGAAGATCGCATTTCACTGCAAGCCAGAATAAAAACTGTTGCTCGGAGGTGTGAAAGGCACGATGATGACGACAAGATGACGGGAGAAGCATAAGAGCGAAAGAGGTTCATTGATGGAGGGAAGGAGAATTTTTCGCCCTGGATACATCACACGGATGGTAATAATCTGTGTTCCATGTCTTTGGATTTCCATCTATCACAAAATTGTGATGTGAAAAGCTAGCAGGACCCAATCCTCGGATCCCTGTGTCGGAGATTATTCCGCAGCCAATCACCAAGAGTACCCAGGATCGAGTGGAAGAGGGAGCCGGCGTTCCTAAAGTGAAAAAGCTTGAAAAGGTTGACGCTGCAAGGGCTGCTGTGGTGACATCATGGGCAGGCTCTCGCGCTCTCAGCCACCCCCTGGCACCGCTATAATTTTGGGTCGTCTCAGCAAGCTCGATCACATTGGCAGACAGTTGGCAGACAGCTCCGTACATAATGATGGTGTGTAACAACTGGGGGTACGTTCATCATGGCAGCACCATGTACGCACGACAGCCAAACAGACACCAGCCTCACCACGCCTCACCGAGTATCACCGCTGTTAGGCTTTGCGCTGCTGCTGTCCGCGAACTATCTCCATGCTGTCGGCTCCAGCAGGCGAGCGAAACGAGCGTCAGGGCGGCGCCTTGCTGACTCAGCATAGGCTGGGAGAAGGGGGGGGAAGACCCAAGACTCCTGCTTGGGCTGGCAAAACTCTCTCCAGACTGTCGGTACCTGCTTTCCACCGGCCTCTTTCAACATCATCTCATCCGGAGTGCGGCCTGGTGTACTCTGTACTCTGTACGGCGCACAGGCTGCGGCTGGGTATTTGGGACCGGAGCTGTTGCTCTCCCAGGGCGTAGCCATGTTCCCAATATATGCAACGGATGTGTTCTGTCCGCTCCGTCGCGCTCAGCGGTGCCACGAACGCCGGTTGAGATGAGCTGAGCATGGTCCTTTCGATATGCCCTGTACGCTATTTTACGGCATCGTCATACTGCATGCATGTTCGGGTGAGCGTGTGTGCATGTGGGGGCCCAGTTTCGAAGCGCCCGTTATAGAGAGAGATTTGCGTAAATCAGTTTGCCGAAACTCTGGAGTCTGAACTAAAGAAGTACCTCGAGGAACGAGCTCCATCGAAGGCGCAGGGAGAGAAGAACTATATTGGTCGATTGTCTGCATCTGCATCTGCATCTTCCTCGGCATCGTCAACAACAATCCTTCGTTTCATCATTTCTCAACGACGAACAAGCGTAAGCTTTGGGCTCGGTTACGACCCAGGCTGCGTATTATTATTTCTCCAAAAAAGGCTTCATTCCCTACCCAAGCGGCCGATGGACTCCTCCGTACCTCAGCCGTCCATCTTCTCCTCGCCAATCATGTTGGGGGGTACGGAGTAGGTTGGAATGAAGACCCGGCCTTCTCGCCTTTCCCTTCCTGTCATCTGTCGAAAGAGATCAAAAATAAATAATAACAAAAAAAAGAAAAAGAAAAAGAAAAAGAAATACAACGCAACGAGCGCCAGTGAGAGAAAAAGAAACTTTGGGAACCAGTTCCGATCGATGCGACTCCACAGACGCCACACGTCCAATGCAATGCCTTCTAGACGCTTAGACCTGGGCTCCCCTTTCCCTCTTCCCCGGCTCCACCACGTCCTTGCCTGTCCCTCCTCTCCCTGCTTTTCGGCTGGGAAGGCTAGAGCTGCTCCCGGTGGATATGGAGGCCGGAGACCTTGGTCCACTCGTCGCGCCGCAAAGAGAAAATGAGAGGAGTCAGTTTCTTTCTGTTCCTTTTTGGGGCCGAGCAGGCAGGCGTCCAGTTTTCTTGGCCGGCTACCTGCTTGCCTGCTTGCCTGCCTGCTTCTGCCCTGTGAAAAAGCTGACACTCACCACAGAGTATATAACGATACCATGCCTCTTCTTTGGGTTATTTATTTGCAAAATTTTGTGATAACCCGAAACCTTGTGCAAACTCTCTATTCCTCTCTCTAAGTTTGCAGCTCCTTCCCTTCTATTAATACTTTGTTATTTTAACACTTCCTCTGCGACTACTGGTGATTCTATACATATAAATACGGAGAGTAGCGTCATTCCCTCGCTGGATATAGAGACGCTATCGTTCGTACTCAGCAGCGCCGCTAACTTTGCTTTTATCAACCTCCCTTCCCGTTCCTTTTTCTTACCTCTGCTCCGGCTTGAATTATTATTATTATTATTATTTTTCTCTCTCTAGCCCCTTGTCTTCTTCTTCTTCTCCTTCTTCTCCTTCTTTCTCTTTCCCTTACGCCCAACCCAGAGTTTCCCCGATTCAACGCCTCACCTGAGGCCCCGTCTGAAGGATCGACTCCGTTCCCAACTCTGACACTTCCGGTGACAATCATTGGACTAAGTACTGCTTTGATAAGCGGCCGGTGTGGCCCTGTCCCGATTCTCTGGAAAGCTTTAAAAGGAGACCGTGCCATGTGCATTGTCAACTACCTTGTCTCCTGACCTAAAATACCCGCCTCCAACTCTAACCATCGTTTATTGCTTCAATCCCGGCACCCTGTCTTCCTCACGATCACCGGGATTGATTGCTCTGATTCCTGTTGAATCAACCTTTATTTTTGCGTTTGCTTTCTTTTTATTTGCCACTGCTTCTTAAGAAAGCGCGGTCCTTCTGGGCAGAGGTGAAAAGCAGCCTTAAATCCGCCGAAATAAAAGTGATTGACAAATCCTTCCTCCTGCCTGCAACTGTCAATCATCATTCTTCCACTTTGCATCTTCCCTTTCTTCCCTTCTTTCACAGAACTAGACCTTTGCGGACCTTCTGTGTTAGGCTGTGGCATGAGCCATCAAAAAACCACATATTTATAGCTACTTCGCTCGCTTTCAAGCTCCCCCTGGATGCATGCAATTTATCAGCATTACAGACGACACTTGTTTTAACCGTTACTTCCTGGGCTGATAAACAACGAGGGAGAATCAAGAGCTGCCCTTCCCTACCCCTCTCCTCCTTTTAATCGTGTATCGCATCAAGTAACCTCCTGCGCCATGGTACGATTTCGAAATCTCCCGATCATTCGCAGGCTTTTTGCCAGAGCCGACGATGGCAAGCCTCCATTTCCTACCCAGCAGCTCTTCGTTCTAGGTACGTCAGAAAGTCGGCACATTTCTTCGTGGACTCCCCTATTGCCGCTCCTTAGGTTACGTCATAAGAGTGTCACGCTGACATTTCACTCCAGGTCTTTGTCGGATATGCGAACCTATTGCATTTATGTCTATATTTCCTTATGTTTATTACATGGTTGGCAGTTTTAATGTCACCACCGATGATCGAAAGATTGCCTTCTATGCTGGAATTGTTACCTCCGCCTTTACTTTGGCCGAATTTTCCACCGGTATGCTATGGGGCCGCGTGAGCGATGCTATCGGCCGGAAACCAGTCCTCATTATGGGGCTAGTTGGCACAGCCATTAGTATGATGGTATTTGGGTTTGCTTCCAGCCTTCCGATGGCCTTGATGGCTCGAGCTCTCGGCGGCTTACTCAACGGAAACATCGGCGTCCTTCAGACCACAGTCGCGGAGCTCGTCACCAATAAGGAACATCAACCGCGGGCCTATTCCATTATGCCATTCGTTTGGTGTCTCGGATCGATCATTGGTCCTGCGATTGGCGGCGCCTTGGCCAAACCATGTGACAGCTATCCATCTCTTTTCCCGGAAGATAGCATCTTCAAGCAATATCCCTACTTACTCCCCAACTTGGTTTGCGTTACGGTTCTTCTTGCTGGCATTACCATTGGTATACTTTTCTTAGAGGAGACCCATGCAGAAAAGCGACACCAACGAGACCGGGGCCGTGAACTCGGAAAGTACCTCGTGGCGATACTCTTCAGGGGTGAAGATGTGGCAAGGGGTATGAAGAATACGAGCTGCACTGGGGATGAGGACGCTAAACCATTCTTATACCATGACGACCCCCCGCCAGGCTATGACTGCCTTGAAGATCCTGATACCCAAGAGTCCCCGGCCCCAAAGCAACCAATAGTTTTGCCAGTTGAAACGAAGAAGAGTAAAGGATTTATCAGGGCATTCACCCCAAGAGTGAAATATATAATTTTAGGATATGGGCTTCTCGCCTAGTAAGTTGCGCTCTTCAGCTGTTTGGAACCCAGTATCATTTCTTACTAACCCCTAATAGTCACAGCGTGAGTTTCGATCAGCTCATGCCTGTCTTTTTGAGCACCCCCGCTTCCAATGTACCGGTCGAACTCCCATTCAAGTTCCTTGGAGGCTTATCTCTTTCAACTAAAACCGTGGGATTCATGCTTGCTGTACAGGGTATCTACTCTATGATAGCACAGCTCGTTCTGTTCCCATTCGTTGTCCGATCATTTGGGACCCTGAATACCTACCGATTTGTCATAAGTGTTTGGCCAGTTCTCTACCTCGCTGTACCATATCTTGTCCTCCTCCCCGAAGCGTTACGATTGCCCGCGGCATATCTCGCACTAATTTGCAAGATTACTCTCCACGTCATCGCTTTCCCGTCAAATGCTATTCTTCTTGCGAACTCTGCACCATCGACCACCGTGCTCGGATCCATTAATGGTGTAGCAGCTTCCACTGCTAGTTTAAGCAGAGCCCTTGGCCCAACTGTGACTGGATTTCTGCATTCGCGAGGCCTAGAGCACAGGCTCTCCATTCTATCGTGGTGGGCTTGTGGTCTGGTCTGCGCAATCGGTGCTATTGAGAGCTTCTGGATAGAAGGAGACAATGCCAAGCCAGTTCAGCAAAAAGACGTCGAAAAATTGGCAAAAATGGATGTGGATGACTGCGAGACTGGTCTACAATACGAGGAATCAGAACTGAGCCTAGATAAGACTAGGCCTCCGTCAGAGTCTTCCAGGGAATCCTCCACCCCCAACTCCAAGGCATAACCTGCTGCCATCTCCGTACCATGAGAGCGCTTTCTCTAACTACGCTTCCCACCAAAAAAGAAAAAAAAAAAAATCCTACTTATGCACGAGCTTCACGATGTCCGTACCTTTGGCAGCGCCGACATTCTCTTTTTGTTGAGCGAGAAGAGTTGCAATGCAAGCGCTAGCATCATGTTCTATCTCCCTTTGTTTCCCAAGCCATTGCCTCGCATATACCCATTTCTCTTTATCTTTACTCATTTTATTTTACCTTTTGTTCACCTTACATTTTCCATCTTAATTTGTGATGATCATTGCCATTATCTTGTTTTGCGCTGCTATTAATGGGTGGCTAGGAATTGGTTTGTTGAGCATTTTCACAATTTGTTTGACGGGTGGAACAAAAAAAAAAGAGTTTGGATTCCAATGTTTGTGTTACCTTTTCTCTACTTCATGTGCCTTTTTCATATCCATTTAATGCACTCTGCCTTGTCTTTTTCATTATTCCTTTTACTCTATAATCTCCAGAAGGGAGACTGTATCACTACATGAAGGGGCAAGATTGTTTTCAATTCGATAGAAAGTCATAAGCTAGTGGAGGTATATCCCTGCTGTTTCCCATTCATACATGTTTTTTTCACCACTATTCTGGCTCTTATCTATTCAAATGGGCATAGAAGGCCGAGGCTTTGGGAAGCTTCTTTTGCTAAGTTTGCTAGTAGTATCTCTCCATCTATACAATTGAAAATACTTGATTACCAACACCTTCCAAAAGCTACTTTAGGTATCATGAGCGGCTATTAATAACAAAATTCAAGGGACTACGGGTGTTAATTTAAAGCTTTCCATCGAGACTCTCCTGTAGTTAACGTGGTATTATAAAGTCAGCTCTCCCTGCTGGGGTTAAAATTAGCATTTTATTAGCTAGCTTGACCCAAAAGTTGCTGGGTATTATTGTTATTGAGCCTGAGTTCCGAGAAGGCCGGCGACAAGAGTACGGCCCAAGGCGTCGTAGGAACAGACTCAGCCGTTGGCATGACGCATGCATGATGGATGATGGACGTATGCATGTCCGTTAGTTCGTTAACAAACCAGGGAGTCATCATGTCACGAGTGCAAAGCATTTGCATTCGGGCTGCACTTCGTCTAACCTCAGCTCAGGTGTCCCTCAACGCAAAGCCGACCTGCCCATCCATCCGTCAGTCCCAAGATCTGATAGCTTAACCATCTATCGTGGAGTTTTAAGAGCCTAGGTAACTAGAGCGCGGCCATGGTTGTCTTAACCCTGTTCTTCGCTTTCTTCTTCTTGGTCCAGGGCAACTGCCAGCCCCGAGACGAGATACCATACGTCCGCAAGTACCTCTATGTCGGTGGACAGTATGCGGACGACGGCAACGGGAACCATATATTCAGGGATCAGATGTATGTCGAACACCTGGCGCCGACCAAAGGTCCGACAAAGCAGCAGCCCATAGTGCTCTTGCACGGTCAGGCACAGACAGGGACAGTAGGTTGACGTACTCGCAGCCCGAAGCAAATGACCGACGACTTATATGTAGCTTTCGTGCATGAACAAGGGTCAAAATTGGCTGACTGTGAGTTTTCTTTTGCAGAACTGGCTCAACAAGCCTGATGGGGGCCGCGGTTGGGCCTCATATTTCATTGAACACGGCTACGAATGCTACATAGTCGACCAGACATTTCGAGGGCGCAGCCCCTGGATACCAGAAAACGGCACAATGGCAGCAATTCCGGCAGAGATGATACAAAAGTTTTTCACTGCAACAGCAAGGTATAAGCTGTGGCCTGAAGCCGAACTACATACCCAGTGGCCGGGTTCAGGTGTGATCGGGGATCCTATCTTCGATGCATACTACGCATCTACAGTGCAGTTCATAAAGTCCCAAACTCAACAGGAGACTACGATTCAGGCGGCGGGGGTAGCATTATTAGACCGTATCGGCCAGCCAGTAATTCTGGTGACGCATTCACAGGCAGGTGCCCATGGCTGGCTGGTAGCAGATGCCCGCCCAGAGCTGGTCCATTCCATAATAGCATTGGAGCCAGCTGGGCCCCCGTTTGAAAACGTCATCTATAAAGGCCCGTATAGCCGTGTATGGGGGCTGACGAATGCGCCTTTGACGTATTCTCCGGCTGTTGTTGACCCAGAAACAGAGATAGTGAAGCAGACGATTGATGACCGGCCTGGATCTCGTTGCATAATCCAGGCAGATTCTCCGCCTCCTCGCCAACTCCCCAACCTGAGAGGAATAAGGACACTGGTGGTGACCGCTGAGGCCTCTTTCCATCGACCGACGGACTGGTGTGTTGTTCGGTATTTGGAGCAGGCTGGGATTTCCGTCGATCACGTACAGCTGGGCGATATTGGTATACGGGGTAACGGACACATGCTCTTTCTCGAGCGCAATAGCGACGAGATCGCAGCCGTCCTGCGGCGATGGATGGAAGAGGAAGACACAAAGCCGGCGAAGGAGGCCCAGGAGCCCCAGGGGGAGGAGAAAGAGCTTTAGATATCACGTGATAGTAAACAGTTAAACATGACATAAGCAAACACTGATGACGTAATATGACATCTCTTGTGCCTCGGCTCTTTTTTGCTGCTTCGCTTTCTTTTTTTCAGCTCGTTGTTGCCCGCGAGCAAGCTAGACGTCTGACATTCGCTATCGAGCAGACAAGAACGCGACGAGGGAAGACTCTGGCTTGCGAGACAGAGAGATCGAGACAGGGCAGACGGAGCCAGAGGATGAGCTGCTTGATCGACTCGCCCTAGATAAGCATCGCCATGAGCTGGAGTCGCTGATAGCTACCTATCGCATCGATTATCTAGTTTAACCCCACAAAGCTAGATCTCCCCCCAGCCAGGCACCATGCTCGAGTACCGCACAGAAGGGTTTAACGGATGCGCAGTCAAGTACTCTCCCTTCTTTGACTCTCGCATTGCTGTTGCGGCATCCTCGAACTTCGGCCTGGTGGGAAATGGCCGTTTCTACATCCTCAACCTGACACCGCAGGGGATACTCCCACAACAATCGTGAGTACCTGGCTTCTATTTCCTACCTTCCTAGTCCCAGACTCTGGATCATTATCTTCTTTCATAGATAGCTAACTGTTTGCCATCTCTTTCCTATTGTCTAGCTACACTACACAAGATGCTCTTTACGATGTTGCTTGGTCTGAGATACATGAGAATCAAGCACTGGTAGCATCTGGAGACGGGAGTATCAAGCTATTTGATATTGCGGTTAATGAATTTCCAGTACAAGGATGGAAAGAACATTCGCGAGAAGTTTTCTCAGTGCACTGGAATTTAGTCGCTAAAGACCGCTTTTCCTCAAGTAGCTGGGATGGAACAGTCAAAGTCTGGACACCCGATAGACCTCAGTCTTTGCTTACTCTCCCAACTAATAGCTGTACCTACTCTGCTGCGTTTTCGCCTCATTCGCCTGATATCTTATCCTGTGTGGCCTCAGACTCCTACCTGCGCGTTTTCGATCTACGGACCCCAGCTGCAACCAACCACCTCACATTGCAGATGCCCATCCATGGAGCAAACTCACCTCAAAAACCCGGATTTACACCTGCCACTGGCCCGGTTTCCCCGTCGGAAGCCCTTACCCATGACTGGAATAAATACAGACCCTCGGTGGTAGCTACAGCTGGCGTGGATAGAACTATCCGCACTTTCGACATTCGAGCTCCTCGTCAAGGGCCTCTATCAGCCATGATTGGCCATGAATACGCGATTCGAAAAGTATCCTGGTCGCCTCACCTATCTCATGTCCTTCTCAGTGCAAGCTACGATATGACCTGCCGTGTCTGGACAGATGGTTCAGAAGGGATGCTATCAGGCGACGCAGACCTTACAAGAAGTGGACCGATCTCTACTATAGGCAGAGAGCTAGGTCGCATGGGAAGGCACACGGAATTTGTTACTGGCATAGACTGGTGTCTCTTTGGAAGTGAAGGGTGGTGTGCAAGCTGTGGGTGGGATGAGAGACTGTGTGTTTGGGATGCCAGAGCTGTAATGGCATAGTCTCCCCTGCTAAATAAAACGCACCACCCATTCAAAACAGACGTCTATGATATCCTTTGGTTATTAGACAACCATATGACTGGAGATATATTTTGAATTGGAGTTGGAGCCATTGTTATAATCTTCCAACTGGCTCAGTCTTTAAGGCCAACCTTCACCACCTTGGCCACTACATCATCCACCTCCCTTTGCTTCTCTTGGACTGCCTTGGCTTCGTCTTTTAAAATAGATCGAAAGTGCATTTGCTTGCTCAGTCCCAACTTGACTTAAACTCAACGAGTTGATACCTCCCCTAAAGATAATGCCGCTGTTAAGAACTTCGCCTTCCTTGCTCATCACTCTTCTGGTTAAAGACGTGCAAAGCCAGGTCTAAAATGGCCGCTCCTTATGAATACAGGTGTATTATACCTCAAATAGGGATTAGAAAACGCTGTTTATTAGTTAAAAACAAGTTTTATTCTAATAGAACTACACTTTTCCAGAATTTCAACTCTGGCTTATCTTTAACCGCCTATTGACATATATTAGGAGCAAAGGTCATGTCTCCCCACCTTCGAATCTGAATGACACTCTCACTTAAAAGCCAAAGAACAGAGGGTGCTGAACGCTCCAAAAATATTAAATCCTCCCACGCCTTCTTTATCTGCCCGTCAACCGGCTCTCGATCTTTGCCTTCTCCGCCTCTCTGGCCGCAGCCACTTCCTCCTTCGTTGCATCAAAGGCAACATTAACCTGGTTGAATGGGTTCTCTTCGCTCTTCTCAAACTCCTTTTTTATCAGAGCAATTCTTTGCTGTCTCCTGAGACCAGGCTGCTCCTGTTCAACCTCAGGTAATCTCCTCTCTTCATACGCAGCGTAAGCCGCCTTATATCTTCTCTCGGGATGCCGGTCGACCTTCAACGCATCCTTGGAACCTAAAGACAGTGCATCAAGTGCATTATCGATACCACTTGCGTTCAAAGTCGCACCCTTTTTGCTGGATGTTGGGTCCGCATCTAGTTGTCCGAGATCAAGCGTTCCTCTAGATTTCTTCTGGGCGGTTTTAGTATTTCCTTTGGGCTTGCTGGGGAGTGATTTTTCTTCTTCTGCTAGCAAAGCATCACGCTCAGCCTTTTTGCGAGCTGCTTCTGCCTTCTTTGCTTCGGCCGACTCCCTAATAACATCGTTAACGGTGCACTTTGAGGGTTATGAGGGAAATGCCTACTTCTTAGCACTAGACTTTGCACCCTTTTGCCATTCTTTGTCTTCTTCAGCTGCTTTCTTCTGGTCAGCCGCGGCTTGTTTAGCAGCAGCGGCTTCAGCTTTCTTGAATCACAGGTTGAGTGTTAGCTACTGAACCCATTCGTGTGGAGAGGTTTGAGCGTACTCTTGCGTTTCCTGCAGCCTTTTTGGCGTTCTCCTTCTTGGGTGCCATGACTCAACTGATTCCGACAGAAATACCAAGTGAAGAAATCTGTATTACCCAAGATATGATGATCCTAGAGACCAACGATTCTATAGAAAAGAGTCGGGTCACATATCACTCAAGTGGTATAGAGTGGGGTCCGTGCGATAAGAACCTTATCCGGATCATATATTTTCCGTTACTGAAAACATGCCACGTGACCTACTAGTATGGAACTACCTCTCTCGTCCTGTCACTCAGCAGGGCATACGGCAGCACAGCCTCACCCTCTTACGCCTAAAATAGAGCAACGATTGGGTTTATATAGGACACAATATGTATGGGTTGCCTTCTGAAGAAGCAGAATATCGTCCAAACGAATAATACATGCTAGTTGGGGTATTTGATAAATTAAAATACGGAGGGGAATTGTGGTAAGGGTCTAAAGTCGTAAACATATAGAGGCAGAAAAAGGAAAGATACATGAATGGGCAATAATTACCCCGGGCAGGTATGTATGAGGCACGGCTTCTTCACAACATTAAGTTCCAATTTTCTTTCTTCCAAACTTTGACTCCCGGTGTGTCTTCAAAATGAGCAACCTCTGAGAGGATTACACAAGTTGATGGGTCGGTGTTGATAAAATCTTCGACAATATCAGCCGCATCGTTGTCGTTGGAGTCGAATGTTCGGCCTTCCTTGGTCGTCAAGCTATTTCTGTTACGGAATCTCATGAAGGTACAGCGTGTTTGCACAGGCCCACCGGAGGCATAGCTCACGCCAATGTAGACGTCCTTGACAGAGGAGTAGTGCGCGAAGTTATCAATAGCAGACTCCCGTACCTCGTCCAGGACACTAACGCAGTAATCTGGGTCCGAGAAAAGAACATGGAGTACACTGAGAGACTCCATTGTGCTCATATGTCGCATCAGTAAATGCTGTAATTGTGGACAAATTATCAGTAACGGAATCTAAATAAAGTGAAAGCAACAAAGGAGGAAAGCGGAAGAATATCTTACAAAGCACCGGGAGCCGAGGTGGGCCACTAGTTCAATCAACTTGTGGCCGTTTCTAGCCATGAGTAGAACGGATGCTGGATCCAAAGACCAGCTTAAATCGTTGTCATTTCTTATCATCAACCGCTTCAGTGTGCCAATATGTTTTGCGAGCACAAGATTGCGCATCCCTTCAACTGTAACAGTAGGTTTGGGAGTAGAAGGCTCTACTCTAGAGCGAGTACTACGCTCTATCATAAATAGTTCCTCTAGGCGTTGTAGGCCACCAAGGAAGGACAGCAGGTTGCTGGTCACATTGTCTGTGTGAACAGAGAGAAGCGGAATAGGATTATATCTATTTAGATTCTCCAGCGTGGCCCATAATGCCCTCTGCGGACCAACATTGAGCAAGGAGATATGTCTCAGAGTCCAGACGTTGATGCCTCGGCAAAGGATGGAGGGTTTGACTGGAACCAAATAAATTGAGAGACTGTCAAGCGCGATGCCATGATGTTGGCGAACATAATTATGAATGACATCGTGTTCGTTTATGCTATGATCGTCATTGTCGGCTGGTATCTTATTAGCAGGTCCTTTGCCTTTTGATTTACCAAAATGCACCGTGCCATTGGTCATCGCTTTTAGACGTGGTGCAGTATCGATCATTTCATCAACAAACTCCTGATCTTCTCCTTCACTAATGTCATCAGGATGTTCCATGTCTACAAGGGTTTGTAAACGCTTCTCTAGGTCCATGTCTTCAGCATCACCTGTAACGAGGGTATCCGTATCACCGGACTTCGGTTCATGCTCTTTGCTCTCCTTGTTGCCATCAGCCGCTACGGCGTTATCGCCATCTTTCTCGCCTGAAGAGACAGCGGCTGGAGCGGTTGACTGTTCACCTTGCTGTGTTTCATTACCCGGCTCTTTCTCGGAATCCTGATAAGGGCCTGTAACCTTTTCAATCTCGGCTATGACAGCTTGATATTTTGGCTGTTGTGTGTTGAGCTTTTCCAAAACTGACTTTAAGTCATTAATAAGGGATAAATCTGCATCGTCCCTAACCTGGAGACCTTTGGTTGTACCGGTAATAGCGTTGTCAACAAGCTCATTTGACTCTTTCTGTGACATCGAATTCTTGTCAATTTCTAAGCTGAAAAGGCGGGCAAGAACCTGTTCTTGGGCAAGACGTTCACGCCGGACCTCAGAGTTCCTGGAGCTAGATGAAGTAAAGGCCGCAGGTTGACCAGGAGGTGGAGGAGGGAGAGGCTGGTAAAGCTCTTCCTCGTCTTGAACGCTGCTTGTTTCTGAGATCTCCTCGTCTT